GGGGGGGAGGGGGGGGGGGGGGGGGATTTTACTAATAGAGAGAAAGAGAATACAAATAGGATTTACAATCTCACAAAATCTCACAAATAAAACCCTCAAACAAAGCTATCAAATCTCTCACCAATTCTCCCTCAAAAGTGCTTAAAAACCCTCTCAATGTCTGTTCAAATTCTCCCCTTAAAACCTAAGAAAACGTGTTCCTATTTATATCAAAACAGAAACCCAAACCAATCAAGAAACTAAGCCCAGGTCCAAACCCGAATCGCGGTCGACCGCATAAGAAGTGTCGGTCGACCGACCAAAACGCTGAAGATTCAGCATGCACCATCAATTGCTCGCGGTCGACCGGGTACGAACCCGTGGTCGACCGGCCAGAGGACCAGAATCCAACCTTGTAGCATGCACGTTTCCGGTCGACCGGACTTGTCTTCGCGGTCGACCGGACTGTACCTAAATGCCCGTCTGCTTCGTTTTTTCCTGAACTTCGTCGCCGTTTTTACAACTACTACAAATATGATCAGTCGAAATGATCGAAACCGTTTGAGAAAACCAAGGCTCAAATGGTTACAAGTGTTTGGACTGCATGAAAAATTGTTTAGGCAGCGGCCATTGGGATGACTCTACCCAAATGCCCAAATAGTTGTAACAGTTTGAACAGCGGCCAGTATTTTTCAAGTAAAATGAAAGTGAAGTAATGATATGGCATTCTCCATTTTTTATGGTGTCTATCATATTACGCATCAAAATTTTTATTTTTTATTTTTGTTTTTATTTTCATTTTTTTGTTGAAATCACACCTCAAATCCTTGTCAATTGAATCCATTAGCTTGCTTTGAAAAACATCCCCTACATGGACATTTTTCCAAAAAGTTGATCATAGTATTGTCAACACCTAACCATGCACATCGGCTAAAAGTGACATTCATACATTTAAATTACATTAATCCTCCCTCTATCTATCTTTCTTAATCTCTCGCCTGCCCCTAATCTTGAGAGAGAAAACAAATGGGAAAGAAGGAAG